GGAGAGGATCGAACTCTCAACCTCACGATTAACAGTCGTACGCGCTAACCAATTGCGCCACCAAGACGTGGTTGGTGGTCAGCTGATGTAATAAGGATATATAGAGCTATGCAAATGACGGAGAGAATGATAACATCAGAAGACAGCTCCCAGTCTCTCGAACAGTCTTTCGGGTGGCGCGTGATGAGGCCTGGACATGCTCACGCGTGGTGAGGCAATCTCAAGCTAGCGGACTCGGTTGAGGGCTTGGGGGGAACTCAACCATAGAAAGACGGGAGAAGGATTAGGGCTGAACCTCATTCTGATGCATCGGGTGTGAAGAGAGGAATATGCTCCTTTCAACGAAACCACACTATAAAAATACCACTTCTCAATTTGAAATCACTCAAATTCATTCTCTTCAGACCTAGATTTCCCGTTGTTAGTTGCTTCGACCCCGAGACCCAGCCATCTACGCCGAACAAGCGCGCTTCATATGCTTGGTATACTGCGCGCGAGTAGAGAACAACAGACTCCGCCCGCAGAACTGACACGGATAGGGCTTCTTCAGCTCATGGTTCACCTGATAGTGCTTACACAACCCAGTATGGCTGTAGTAAGCAGCTTTACAGGGTTGCCCATCGGCGCCCGGAAAGGCGCAGATCCATCTACCCATGTTATCCCGCACGTAGTGATATCGACCGGAGCGGCGCTGGGGTGATCCTGCGTCCGGCTGTGGGTGATCCTGTTGCTGGTTTTCAGGGTATGCTACGCGCGAGGGGGGGTGGACGATGTACTCACGAGCACCAGGCAAGTACTCACGCAGGTCTGGGTCTTGACCTGTCTGCTCCTGCAGCATTGGCCATTCTTCCCCGGCATCGGCCTGACCCACCAGCGTCTGCTGGTCCTGGGGAGCGAAGGCAGAGCTCAGGAGGTTAAAAAGACGATAAGGATAAGACGACATCATGATACTTGCCGGTCTGGATAAATCAGATCCTCAGCTGTGCGTCGCCTCTAGAGAGATGGATCAAGAATGGGCGCAGAGAAATAGCACAATGTCTTTTTATGTTTCTTGGACAGAAGGTAACAAGAAAGAAGGAGATGAGGATGTCGCTATGCAATAAAGAGATAGCACAATGGATTGTAAGCCCAAAGACCAACTGGAGAAAATGTTCCGCTATGTTGGAATGAATGCCCCACTAGTTTCTTTATCCTCTGTTGGTAAAAGTACGGTCATTGTATGGAATTGATGGCCCACCATGCTACTGAGACAGGATTATTCATGACACACATACCTAACTCTATCAAAACTCATTCATGAGTTGGTGACCTACAGCAGGCGATCCCTGCGTCCAAGGAGGGAAAAGGAAATGGAATTTCCGACAGTCACACGTGCCCCCTGCCTATCCTTCTACTTCCACTGCCGCATTTTCTTGGCAAATTGGTAATTACAGATATTTGATGTCAGTTGGATCAATACAATATCCGATCGGACCGCTGCTACCGTCTGGTCGGGTCCGCCAAGAAATCCGGAGCCGGAATCGACCTTACTAGATCGGGTGCGATCGACCATTAGCCTGGAGCCTGGGGCGGTCGATTGAATGCGTTGCCGAAATGCCACAAGTAGACTGTCCATGAGGTCATGTACTAATCCCAGACAAGACTATTTGTTAGATGGTTGGGAGCTGCGTTTATTGCCGTGGTTGACCCGTTATATCTACTGCTCAAGGATGGACCAGACCCAGGCCCGAAACGAATGCGGAACGTAGAAAGCAAGCCAGCCCTAAGGACTTGGTCAAAGGACGCCCGCAATTCCGCTAGGATGGTGGACAACAAAGCCATGCAATTGATGACAATGGATTTCGGTAAGTACAAAAGGACAGACACTGGCCAACAATAAGGCTTAGACATGGCTGGCATATCAGAACAATTGAACACAGAAGGAGGCACCGAAAGAGTCCAAAGGAAGGTGGTATCGAAACAAAGATCCTGACAAAACAAGGAGGTACAAAACCGAAGACCAAGAAGATAACGCGAGAAAACCGAAAGATCTAAGCAACAAACGAGAGATTGCGACAATCAGATGCGGTAGAAGGTGGCAAGAAGACACCAAACAGGACGATGAATGGGCGTCGCAGATGAACTGCAAACACAGATGATCAAAACAGAGACTTGATCTTCGAGGGGAACTGTTGTGGCTCAAGTCGGCGCGGAAACTGGCCTCCGAGCGAGACCGGTCGCTAGGGTTGCAATTTGTTAGATAGGTTGACAAAAGCAAGGAGGCATAAGAGAAGCACGGTTGACGTGATATACCACCGGTTGGGTGAGTGAGCTCATAGCTTACCTGAGTGATAGGTTGCGGAGACCATGTTCTTATCATCATACCCTCTTTGCTTATCATGATAGCATGGTTTCCAGTACGTCGGTAGTTTCCAGTGCGGTCGTTTCCTGCACCTAGGTTCATGTTCCTTTTGAGGCCCGATGATACGAGCAGGGCCTGGTTCCGTTCCGGTCTTCCACATTCTATCCTCTGGTCGCAATGGCCCCTCGCGATGCGTCTTTCCGGGGGGGAATATCTTCTCCCTATTTTCATACTCCTTAGGGTGCTCTTGGTATGGGAGACCCTTTTTGTTATAACACACTTTTCCCTCCGGCAGGTCCTCTATATGCTCTGCCGACCTGAGCGCATGCTCGATGGAAATGTAGTGGAGATCCCACTTAGAGTGCGTGAAGGGAAGCTCGCTGAGAGACCACTAAATTCCTTGATTGTCAGCTTACACCCAAGAATAGAATGTGAAGGCATACATAGGAGGTATTGCTGTGAATCAACGTATCATCCAGAAGCCTGCAAGAGTGGTCCTCTTTTGATTTTCGGGTCTTTGAAAACCCGAACCACTGGAAAAACGATTTCATTGGTAAGAGTCCCATGATATCTGCCGAAGTCAAGGAAAAGAGAGATACTGATAGCTAGGATTGTGTTTGCCATGGTGCAGGTCTAGAGCACGACTATTTATGCCCCCCCATGGTATACTGCAATGAACCATATTGCTGCACTCGATCACGATGCCATCTGCTACACTGTGAAACTGCGGCGAAGAGCATAGGCAGACAGTAGAGAAACATGATGGGATTATGCCTCACTCAGCTTGCGAGGGCGGTTTCGCGCTGAGACCCCATGTTGTGGCCGGGCATACTTCTGTGCCTTTGTGATCATAGGCCAGTCCCTCATCAATGAAGACAAGAGGATCAAAGATCAAAGGTAAGCAGATCACAGTAGTGGCAGCTCTTGTTTTTCTTCTGATAAGGACATACAAAGACCGGAGACTGCAATTTGAGACAAAGTGTATCAACTACCTTACAACTAGATGGCTGGGACAGTCAAAATTCTAATAATGGAAGTGCAGCTTCAAAGACATGTTGAAAATCTTACACAAAGGAGGTGTATTGGTGTTGTGCTATTTTCATCAGAGTCGTGCACTATTTAAGGTGCTTGAGTGCTACATGTGTCTCAGGCTGAAGCCAGTTTTCTCTATCTTCCACACACACACACACACACACACACACACACACACTGCGAACAGAAAAATGGAAAACAGCGACTTTTTCTCCGACGATCCCCTCGTGCAGCAAGCAGCCCAGGTTGTGTTTGATGTAGTGGACGGGATAGAGGACCCGCACACCGGGGCCGAGCGCATCGATGCCATTATCCGTCCATACTTCTTGACTCCCGAGAAAGAGCGGAATGGGGATAAACCTCTAGAGCCGTTTTGGTTGGAGGTAATTTCGACTGCCGCTGTCACGCGCTACGATGATGAAGGGCAGGATCGATTGATTAAGCTCATGTGCGCTTTGAGTCGGCTGACACCGATCATTATCGATGAGGAGGAGGAGAAGATGAGGAAGAAGAAGAATCAGGGGGGGTGAGGGAAAAGCTGTGGACAAGCTTTAGCTATTTGGGGTGGGTGATGCGACAGAACTTCCCGAGCGGGCTTCCTGAAATTGATCCCGATCCGACGGCCAAGTGCTGCGGACTCCTCCACCTTCCACAGGATGCCCGGTGTCCCTTGAAACTCGGCGACAAAGACAAGCCGAAGGATGATGAATGGATCGCGCAAGACCTCAATCTGGACTCCTTCATGGCTAGAGTCCTCGGACATCAGCTGCGGCCGTGGAAGGAGTTCGCCATCTGGCAGCTGCGGTCCGCGCTCGAGTGGCCCCATGTAAACCCCCGTCTCGTCGATCACCATCTTGCTATCGTACGTGAATGGATTCTCCATGCGGGCTACGAGCTGTATCGCCAGCGGTACGAAGGCTTTCTCGAAGCGGACAGGATGAGGCGCACAATGCAGGGGCCTCTCTACCGTGCCACAGGTGGTAGGGCGGATATCCCCCGCGAGCGGTGGATCTTCTGGAAAGAACGCATTGCGGAGCTCGCGAAATTCGCCTCCGATGACTTTCAGAAGACCGCGGCGGCCCTGGTGGATCGGATGAACAAAATTGAGGAGGATCTGCAGGATATCCCATTGTCGCAAAAGGCAAGCGGGTGTTAGTGTTGCGGCCCTGAGGCTCTAGTTTGATATTCACTTCTTTGGTATTTGATTTACAATATTACGCCCCTGAGGCAGTTTCAATATTTGCCTTTTGATTCCTTTGTCTGAATCTCCATTCTCGAGACTTAGGAAGCACATTATGCTACTTATTCGTACTATACGTGCATGGGCACACACAGAGCAGCTGGCTTTCTTTGAGGCCTCTAGTGTGTACCCCCGACTCGCCGCTTTGGTCGCGGCTACCACGACCCCGAGTGAAACGTAAACCACACGACAGGGAAGAATAGTAACTTGCTATTGGCAGAGTTCCAAGTAAAGGGAATGCTGTTAGCTAGAATTTGTGGCTTTTCGGGTAAGCCATTGGTCGCCTCGCTTTTCTCCCAGACCCAGAGCCTCCACGAAGGCCAGACCCGATGCATGGCCAGGGAAAGGGGGGTCGCCTGTCCCCCCCCCCTTGCTGGTCATTTTTTTTTCTTCCCATACAGCTGAGCACGTGTACTATAGCTCTGAGTATTGTCTCCAGGCGCTCTTGAATTTGCTAGAGAGAACAATCCTTGAAGATGACGGTTTTTGTTCCCTTTTCTTTTCCTCTCTTTCTGTTTTGAAAACCAGAGCACAGTACAGTTAGGGCTAATGAGGGAACCACTAGCACATACAGCCGCAACCACCAAAGTCTTCTCAACCCGAATGCTATGAAAAGAGCTCCTTGATGAACCTCCCAGTTGTGTCTCGCAGACACATACCCCCAAAGTCGCTCATCGAGAGCAATCATCAGGTCAGTAAGCCTCAAAGACTAGTAAGTAGTATTTGCTGTATCCATAATTAACGCAGGTTGCTGTTAGAGAAACATTTTCTCGCTACACAACACAGCCTCCTTTTTCCTGCGGCGGAAGTATTGTACTGCACGCCACGTTGAGTACACACTCTCCTCTCGACAGACAAAGCAATAAGGTTCCCAAGCCTCCACACAACTCCCCCATTACGTTAAACATCAAATCTTTGATATCATGGATGCGACTTATCCAGAGAAAGAGCTGACGCTTATCACGCTTAGTCGGTCGGGCTGCCCCGTCCCGGCCTCGGAGATCCCTTCCCGAGTTTACCATGATCATCGCTTCACGAAGTTTCGGCTCACGATCCCGTTCCTGCCTACACAGCTCCCTTATGGCTACAAACATCTAGAGCCCCACAGCCGATCGATCGCTCCGATCAACGAACGGCACCCCCCAATATCAACCCCGACCCCAAGTCCGAAGCCGGTACGCTGCGCGATAACACATCGGATACCCAGCTGCTCAATACCTGGAGCTTGAACATTAGGGGTTCATCGGTGGCCCTCACAAGAGTCTTGCATGGTGTCTCAACGCCTGGCATTAAACTCGCGCGACTTCCTTAGCTGGACTCGCACGCAAGGCTGCCCAGCATTGAATATCGGGCTCAGCGGGCTGTCAGTTTGGGGCAAAGTTAGTCACTGAGCTCGGGGGCTTAGGGTTAACGGCCCAGCGATTCGACATCCACATTCTTCACCACGTGCGACCACGGCACCGTCGCAGGGATATCGTTGCATTCAATCATGATTGTTGCAGCAGAGGGAGATCAAGAACCTTGAGATTTCTGCAGGACTTCAAGGGATTTTCCACGAGCGAGACAATCTCGGTCCACACTTCGGGATGACAATGGACCACATGGAGGTCAGTACAAGGTCTGTGTGAGGAATATAGTCTGATGCAGCAACCACTGAATTTTGACCAGGAACAAATTTGTGACAGGCCAGACCAAGTACGTCGAATGGACTGAAGAATGCGATTGTCTGATGTCAAACCCAGCGGACCAGGGTATCGGTGATCTGGGAATTCGATACTCGTACGTATGAGTACATCAGGTTGAGGCCTAAGCCCCACCCAAGCCAAGTCAATTGGTCCAAACAGAGATGACAGGATCCACAAATGATTGCGGAGATGCGGAGCCATTTTCCGGGCCGAGGGTCTGAGGGGGTCATTGCGTTGCCGCAAAACAAGAATGCGCCCCCATTCCCACCTGCCTGTAAGGCATGTGCCGCACGGGTCATCATTCAACGAGCACCGATTCCGGGAACATACGGGGCTGCTGCTCTCAGGGGTACTCTGGACGACAACTGCAGACAAACAACACGCGAAAGACCCGACACAATCAAGCCCAAACAGTTTTTTTCGTCCTGCATAATTAGCGCGGCCGGGTTGCGTGATCCCCCTCCCCTCTGCTGCGTAAACCAACCAACCTTGCCCACAAATAGCAATCCTGCACATATCAATTCCTGCATCAAAAGTCGATGCATCAGAAAAAATTAGCACTGACACCTGGCCACAGAAATCGAAGGCACCTGTCCATTTATTTCCCCCCACCAACGCATTTACTCATTAATTTCCTATCAATCGACCCGGGGGGGGGGGCCTTCCTATAAGATATGCCACCATCGCCAGACCTAGGCTATAGCGGTCCCCCCAAAGCCCGCCAACTGCTGCGTCTTCGCTGTTCTTAATCTTTCCGGATGGTCCACGACAACAGTGGCAGCGCCTCCATGCCATGGCGGGTACCACAGCGTACGACCCAGAGAACAAAGGCCCGGCCCTGCTGGCGGTGATGTGGACCCTGACGAGCCTTGCGACCGTGCTGGTCTGCGCGCGCCTGGTGATCCGTACGAAGATTATCCGTGCCTTCGGGCTGGACGACTGGCTGATTGCTTCTTCAATGGTGAGTCCATTATCTCATTTATATCGATGATTCACCCGTTGACCCACTCCCATTCCCAGATCTTAGGGCTATGCAACGTCAGCCTCGCGACCGTCGCCGTGACCCAAGGTCTCGGCAAGCACGCCGCCACGATCGGCCCCTCCGCCGCCGAACGAGCGAACCTGACCATCGATCTCGGCTGGATCTTCGGGATCCTCGCCTTCGCGCTGCCCAAACTAGGCGTGGCCGCCCTGCTGCACCGGATCCTGGTTCCTGGGGTTCGCATGCGGTGTGCGCTCTGGGGGCTGACGGGGATGGTGATGGCCGTCGCGGTGGGGAATATTTTGGTACTATTTACCCAGTGCGATCCGCCGCGCGCGCTGTGGGCGACGGTCGAGGGGGCGCGCTGTCGCAGTTCGAGGGTCATCATCGGGGTTGCCACGTTTAATGGGGGTGAGTCTGCCTCTCCTGTCGCCGATGGCTACTGCAGTTCAGCATTCGCCGGGAGGGCACTCACTAACAACGTTGCAGCATTGTCAGCCTTCACCGACCTCAGCCTGGCGATCTACCCGAGCGTGATCCTGTGGCGATTACAGATGTCCCTGCATAAGAAGCTCGCTTTGTGCGCGGCGTTAGGGCTCGGCGCTATGTTCGTTCATCCCTCCCTTCAATCCCTTGACAATGCAGCCCTAACTGGTCCGGATAGCTCCGCCTGCGCCGCCATCATCAAAACCACGCACCTCGACGCCCTCGGCGACGTTGCTGATTCCACATGTATGCTTGCCCTACCCTGCTCTGCCCTTGTTCCCATACCCCCTCCTCCCCCTCCACCGCAACCCTCACCCCCAACTAACGCTAGAGACAGACGAAAGCTGCCCCCTCGTCCTCTGGACCAAGTACGTCCCCACCTCAGCCCACGCATACCCAATCCAATCATTCCTCGTCCTCCAACCCTGTAAGCTAACCCCAGCAAAAGCGCAGAAGCAAACCTCGTCATCATCGCCTCCTGCATCCCCACCCTCCAGCCCCTCCTGGATTTCATCCTGGGCAAACGCTCCTCCGCCTGCCGATCCTACAGCCTCCCGCGCTCGTACCCGACCCCGGTGCCTTCGTATGGACCCGGATCCGCGAGAAAGGGGCGTCATCAGTTGACGGAAGGGAGTGTGACACGAGCAGACAGCCAGGAGGAGATCTGGTCCGGGGATGAGGAGGTGGAGACGGTGCGGCCGGGGCGCGGGCGGGGACGGGGCAGGAAGTGGGAGATTCATCGGACGGATCAGATTGTGGTCGAGTTTGAGATGGGGGGTGGGCGGGGGCGGTAGGTTGATTGATTGAGAAAAAAAAGTGATGCGCTTGTCTGGGTGGGAGGTTCGAGCAATCGGATGGTGTTTCTGGTGGTTCTGGAGATAGGTCTTCAGGTCGATGAATGGGGTAATTGTTTGCTTGTGTGTGGATCTATCAAGTTTGATTTACGGGGGGTAACAAGATAAGAGCTGTGTACCCAGTAGTCTAGAGCTTATCAAGGGTAGCGGGGATACTTCCTGATCGGGTAAGTAGGTCCCCGCATGCAACCGCGTTCCAGAGGTACGCGCGGTGGCTGCGGGATATGTATGCATGCATGGCATGGGTGCAGTTGATGTGTCGAGTGCCACTCGTACTAGCGCGGTAGCATTCCCCCGCAGGAATCAACTGTGTAGAGACAAGCAATGTTGCTGATACAGATACATTCTTTTGTCCTGGAGATGATGCAATCTATTCAAATAGGATTATACCCCAAGCATGGGCTTAAAGGAATTTACGCTTCGGTTCGAGGTCCCAATTAGGTGAAACATAAGCCAGGAGAGAGGTATGCGGGCCGAAGAGAGACCCGACTGACAATTTTCAAATAAACCATTGCCTTTAAGACCACTTAGACCTGTTTCATACTCACACAGGTCCCGAGACAACAGCCGAGTGTCACCCATGTCTCAAGCTTGGACGAAGCTACTAAACTTATTGATGCTCAGACCTCATGCCCTCAGACATGGACGGGTGTGCATTGACTTGAGCGGTCCATTCCACGCAAACCTTGTTTCTTCCGCCTGAACCCGATCACTGAAACACTTCCCGTAACCCTTACCCCATAACCTACTTCCAATCCACCCTCAAATACCTAGACTCCCCGGTCATTCACGCCAAACTCCCCCGCACCAGCGGCACCAAATAGTCCAGATTGTACGCCCACAGGTAATTCGACAGCTGGTTCCCGAACGCTGCGCCCGTCCAGTACGTCGACCGATGGCCCTGCAGCGCATACTGCCTCTGGATGAACCCGTCCCTCAGGTTCTCGGCGGTGGTCCGCATATCCATCGCCCCGTGGTTCGACCACGCATGGACTTTTATGGTAGTCCCGTTGAAGATTGGAGAGGAAAGCGTCCCCGCGGCGGTTAGCCGGCGGATTCCTTCGTTAGCGAGGGCCTGCGCGGCGGTCTCGCTGAATCCCAGCCAGCCTACGACGATGACTTGCCAGAGGTCTTCGCCGAGGTACTATTTTTTTAATAAGTGATTGGGGTTAGGTTCCTCGAGTTGCAACATGGATGGGATGGGGGGGGGGGCTCACCTCGAAGTAATCGACGAACGGCGGCTCAGGCAGCGCGTAGTCGTTGCCATCGACCGCTGTGGCGGGGAGGTTGTAGATGACGCCGTTGACTGGTAGTGCGGGGTGGGAGATGATTCCCGTGTGAACGACGCTCCATTTGCCCTGGTCGAAGATGCTCTTCTCGGTGGTGTCCAGGTCGAAGGGGGCGGTGTTGGCGGCTGTCGGCTCGATGGCCATTACGAGTCGCTTGGCGCGGATGATGGTGTGGGATTGGGTGCTGTGGTTCTGCACGACCAGCTCAACGCCCCGGTTGTCGGGGTACCGGATGGACTCGATCACCGTGCTGTTCAGCAGGACAGAGTCGCCCAGGATGTCCGCAACCGCGTCGTAGATGTCCTGGTTGCGGTGGGAGGCGGGGACGTATTCCGGGTCTTGACCTAGAAAGGCGGCGGCGGTTTGAGGCCCGAAGGTCTGCATTTGGTAGAGGGTGGGTGCGTCGAGCATGTCGGCTAGACCGGCGCCGATGCCGGACCAGATGAGCTAGCCGGGACGAGGGTTAGGCAGTTTTGAGTGGGGAAAGGCTGGTGGTGGGCTTACGAAGATGGTGGCGTTTAGGTTGTACTTGGCGGCGAAGTCGCGGAAGGGCATTAGCAGGTCCTCAGGGATATCTTCGGGCGCGGGCCACTTGGCGTAGGATGGGAGGAAGAGATTCTGGTATTGACTGGAGACATTGTAGAATGTTTCCAGGGCGGCGAACTTGTCGGTGATGCCGGGGGCGACGTAGCTCACGGGCTTGCCGGTGGTAAAGTCTGCGTAGGTAGTGGTCAGGGTGGTGCTGCCCAGGTCGGGCTCCACGTAGTCGATGCCGAGCCGGTCGAAGAACGCGGTCGTGCCGGTGTAGTTGGTGTATGCCGCTACGCCGTCTGATGCGACATGCTGTCAGAATTGTGTAATTGGATAGTGATCAATGATTGTACTTACAGTCGTAAGTGGTATTAGTGGCGGGATTCGTCCAGCTGTTGACCATTCAGCCCTGTAGGGTGAGAACCACAGTGATTAAAGCATGGCCCATAAATGAAGAGAGGTTTCATACCAGTTGACCTTTTTTTTCGACAACCCTGATTGAGAGACCGGCATCATGGAAGTGGACAGCCGCATTGGCTCCGGAGGCTCCACCACCGACGATCACCACATCCACTGTCTCGACAGTTGCATCGGGGTAACGGGGTTCGAAGGTTGAGTTGGATGCTAGGGATGCAGCACAACATGCTCCAATCGAGGCAAGAGCGACAGAAAGTGAGTTTAAGGGAGACATTCTGAGTGAATCTTCTGGGGCGGGTAGAAGTTCAGCAAGATTTAAACCGGTTGAGTGAAAGCGAGGGACGGGCTTTTATTTCGAGGACTGAGACTAGTGTGAGAACCGACAGCCAACTACTGTGGGAGCGGAATGCCCTGCGCAACCTGAGAAATGAGTTGTGTATAAATGAAACAGTTGGAGACAGTTCACCAATCATTGTCCCAGTATAAATGAGCGCCGAAACATCTATACCCAACTGAGCTACCGTGGCAGAGTAGTAGGGCTGAACTAGAGCCAAGAAAGCTAAGCTATAACGTCTCCACCGCCAAGCCGGTCGACTGGAGCCGGGTTACCCGAGCTCAACAGCTGTCATTGCCGAGCAATTTCAGGGGGGGGACTTCACCACAAGTGAATGAGGGTCTTTGAGCGACTCATATCTACATGAAGAGAGTAATCACGCGAATAATTGTCTATCTTTGCAAGCCAGTATCGCAGAAAGAACATATTGCGAACGATCCTCCTTCTCATCCAAATTATACATCCGGTCATGGCAGAGGCAGACTTCATTCTGCGAAAATGCGTAACCAGCTCTCACATCGGTCAGTTCGACTTGCGCTTCCGATCGAGTTCACTCAGCTTCCTAAAAGCCCGCGTTATTTCCACCGCACTTTGACACGCATAATCTGCGAGACATCAGCAAAACCCCACAGCCCACACCGCAGAATATCAAGACAATACTCACAAGACCCCACAGCAATCCAAATAAAGTTCATGAAAAAGTAATAAAACCAGAAGTAATAACCCTCTGGCCGACAGAACTCCATCCCGTGGTAGTAAAGGTCGAACAGGCTCGTCGCATAGTACAGCACATCGCCGTAGACCTGTCCCAGCGACATGATGAGCTGCAGGGCGTGGCGAGCGGGGTGCTGGGCGGCGATGCAATAGGCGACGAAGAATGCGAGCGGGCCCCAGCAGAACTGCAAGATTTATCAGCTTCTCTGGCTTGCTGCGTGCAGTCTGGATAGGGATGGCAGGACGTACGGCGGTGACGGCCTCCATGGACACAAGGAATGCGTCCGACGTCAGATACCGCGAATCAGAGAGGGAGTACTCCTTCCATAGCTGACCAAAGAGGTCCTGCGAGCTTGCGAGGGATTGATGGTTGATGACGAAGTAGGCTTCGAAGAAGAGGTGGATCGATCCCGCTGCACGGGGGCTTACGTGCTTAGCATGGGGTGTTTGACTGGAAGGTTCGTCGAGGCGAGGATAGGGTACATACTCAGGCACATCCATTTAAATGCAAATTGGTCTGATAGACTCACATTAGGTCGTGCGCGGCGGATGGTGATCAGAGCGACTCCAAGGACGGCAATCCAAAGGATACCAAATTGGGCAATGAGCGAGAAGACAGGGGTTGTGTTGGTTGCATAGTGTGGTAGGTGTATTGTTGAAGGATAGTAATCGTGAGAGACTGGTGCGGTTCGATTGGTCATCTTGCGTAAGCTTGCCTAGCTAAGTCAACACAACTGTAAATCTATTGTACATGACAGTTTAACATATAGAGATTGGCAACAAGGATGGATATCTTGTCTTATAATAATCGATGCACGATCGGTCCGGGCTCGGAGCCCGCGGAGCCCGCGGAGAATGCCAAGAGATTCGGATATCAAGGATACCAGATCAGACCACCAGCTTTGAGTTTATGCCCCTGGGGATCTCAAACTTATTCCGTAGTTAAATGCAAGGCTGCATATACTGAAACAATATACTGAAACAAGCATTAGGCCCTTTTTGGTAGGCAACCATATTCACTCTGACTAGCAAGACGCTGGTCTATTAATAACCTTACAAATGTGTTCCTAGTAAAGCGATTTGTGTAGTCAATTCTTGCTACTTCGAATATTATCTTCGCAGCTCCAACAGCACAAAAGCTCTAATGTTATCAAAAATCCACTGCAAACCTCAAATCATCAACTCATGCTCGTTAATGGAGGTGACGATGATCAATTTTGAGGTCCTATGACTAAAGGTTATATGGACTTAGAAGTTAGGACTAAGTAAGCATGCGCGTGCGTGTAGATATGTGCAATTGATATGTTATCAAAGTCATAGATGCAAGGGGAAGAAAAGACAAACTGGGTGCTTGGCACAACATTTGGTCGGTTGTCGTCAGTTTTATCCGCAAAGATTCAGAAAATCTAGACACACTACTCCCCATTGGGTCAGATGCATCGTGTGCGACCTGTCCAGCTGCCAAGTCTCGTAGACCTTGCTACGTCAAACCTGGTTGCTCTGACGACAAAATCATATATTTAAACAACATCCCACCGGCGTGGTATCATACTTGGGATTTGCGCGGTCGGACTTTTGCCTCAAATCAGTGTAACACGCGCAGAAACACAGACAGAATGGGCTACGACTATGTAATGGTGTAGGTTGAATTTGCTATTCTTTCGTGCGTTATCGTACGCTGACCATGGCAGCCATGTTATCTACAACGTCCCAGTGGCAGTCGGGCTACCCGCTGCCTTCTGGCCCTTCATGACGCGCCTGGACTGGACGCGAATATTCACCATGGCCACGGTACGCTACCTCATAATCTGGCGTCTTTGCTTTCGCAGCTTCTCTCCCCACCCACAAAGTCTGACCATTGTGGGTAGATAGCACTCACAGCCACGGTTCCGTGGGATTCATACCTTGTGCGCCGCCGGATCTGGACTTACCCCCGGGAAGCCGTGACCGGCTACAAATTGTGTTCCATTCCTCTGGAAGAGGTCTTCTTTTTTTGTCATCCAGACATACAGCACTGGTATGCTGTACACCATACTCACCCGTCGATTAGTGTTCCCTGCCTTTGTGCGACCAGCAGGTGGGAAATTCTTCAGCGTGGGAATCCTGGTCCTGGCTTGGGCTGGCGCCATAGGTGTCAAATACCTCCTAGATGGAGGTCGGTACACCTACATGGGGTTGATTCTGGTTTGGGCTTGTCCGTTTCTGCTGGCTCAGTGGTAAGAGTTACTGCCTTTACGGCTAAGACGACACGCTAGATCTGATGCGCGTACATCAAGGGCAATCGCCGGCCACTTCACATTGGCTCTCCCTCGCCGCGAGATTCTTCTGTCAGTAATGCTCCCAACAATGTTTCTATGGACAGTGGACACATTATCAATGCGGCGAGGCACGTGGGTCATCGAGTATGGCACGAAACTGGGCCGGGAGGTATGGAGAAATATGGATATCGAGTATGTGCTAGCAGCTGGGCACTTTGACAGAGAGTCGCGATAATGACCCAGCGCATAGAGAAGCCGTCTTCTTTCTCCTAACAAACTTGCTAATCGTGTTCGGGTTTGCCGCAATCGACTTTACCATAGCCCTAACCGATGGCAAGCTCGCTCAATCCAAGTCGAGTATCCACGACGTTCCTTCCTGCGGGCAAATCTTTCGGAACTTCGTTTTCTCGCCACAGAAACTAGATCCTGACTTTGTGGCTCGCCTGAGCAAGGCAGTTCGATGTTTGGCTACCAGTAGTCAGAGTATGTACATGGGAAGCAGTATGTTCCAGGGACCTCTGCGCATTGATCTCATTTTTTAGGACGAAATCTCGGACCCATATAAACCATGAAACCACCCGCTGACAAGAGCCTAAGATATTATTTCTGTCGGATGGCCGACGACCTGATCGACAACGCTCCAGACCGATTTACAGCAGTGACAGCCATCAACAATTGTAGAACACGGCTAGCCCGTCGGTTCTCACCAGACTGGGAAGAGCAGGGGAAACCTAAGCCTTCGGAGCTGAGTGAAGCGATAGTGGCTCTCCCCGCCTTCCGACTGCGCCTTTCGCCTCTCCAAGGTCTCCTGGAGGGGTTCCGCACCGATACCAAGTTCGACCGCGAGAGCAGTGGTTTCCCAATCGACTCCGAAGAGGATGTAGACCGATATGCCTATCACGTCGCAGGCACCGTGGCCGCCAGCGTGTTGGACCTCGTGTTCCACCACTTCCCCCATCACGCGTCGGGGAACCATGCCACTACGCAGCGAGTGATGATTGCAGCCGGCGAACAAATGGGCCAAGGTCTTCAGTTGGTCAACATCGCGCGCGACATTGACCGGGACGCGCGGATCGAACGGGTCTATCTTCCTACGGCCTGGCTCAAGCACGAGGGCATCACCCCGGCAGACGTGCTGGACAATCTGGGTAGTGCCCCGGTGGAACGGTTGAGGAGACGCCTTCCCCATGTACGGCCGAGCGCAGCACTATTTCACCAACACTAAGACGCGGCAGGCCTGGACCTTTGCCTCGATGTATATGGGCATGAGTCCGTACGAGGCGCCGAGGACATACGCGCTGCTGCAGTACTCGGAGACGGTCGACGGGATCTGGTATCCGCGCGGTGGATTTCAGCGGGTGAGTTGACTTGAGTTGAGTCTTGTCATCACATTCTCGAGACTGTCCATCCTAAGAAGACTTGATGTTCACGCCTTCATGACCTCTTCACGCAGTTAACAACTAAACCTCCCCTGAATATGTGCCTTTCCTCCCATTCACACAAGTCTCAGTCCACTAAGCCAGAGCCAACAGGTCCTCCAAGCGCTCGCCGACATCGGCCACACCCAGGGGGTCGAATACCGGCTACGCAGCCCAGTGACCCGCATTCTCCTCTCCGACGACCAGCACACTGCGCGGGGCGTGCGCCTGGACTCAGGCGAAAAGATCCTGGCCGACGTCGTCATCGTCAACGCGGACCTCGTCTACGCATACAACCACGTCCTCCCGCCCTGCCCGTATGCCGCCGGGCTCACGCAACGCCCGACCTCCTGCAGCAGCATCTCCTTCTTCTGGGCGGTGGACACGCCGCTGCCCCAACTCCGCCCGCACAACATCTTCCTGGCCGAGCACTACCGCGAGAGCTTCGACGCGATCTTTATCCATCACAGCATTCCCGCCGACCCGTCCTTCTACGTCAACCTCCCCAGCCGGATCGATCCCACCGCCGCGCCGGAGGGCATGGAAGCGCTGGTCGTGCTGGTTCCGGTGGGCAGTCTGCGCAGCTCCGGAGAAGGGAGTCACCAGGATCAATGGGCAGAGGAGATCGTCGTCGCAAATACCCGCGAGCTGGTCCTGCGCACCATTGAGTCCCGCACGGGGATCCGGAACCTCAGCGCACACATCCTCCACGAGACGTACGAGACCCCGCTAACGTGGCGGACTAAGTTCAATCTCGATCGCGGCGCGATCCTGGGCCTGTCGCATTCCTTCGGCAATATGTTGAACTTCCGGCCTGCGATGAAGCACGCGAGCATTGATGGGTTGTACTTCGTCGGCGCGAGTACGCATCCTGGGACAGGCGTGCCGATCTGTCTTGCGAGAGCGAAGTTGGTTGCGGAGCTGGTTAAGCGGGATGTCGAGTCTGTGGAGAGCAGTGATAGGGATAGGGCTACAGGGCGGGTTCTCTGGGGTATACTGTTGGAGATGCTTGGTGTTGCTGTCGCGGGTCTGTTTGTGATGCAGCTTGGTTTAGGCGGGGTTGCGAGTAGCTTGGATGACGGTTGGGTCTGGTGGGGTCTGAATGTGGTTCTTCTGTACTTAAATATAATGTAGTGACGGTTTCAATGCTGATTATGCTCGAACCGTGCTGTCAATGAGCTTGAGGTGGTATTGTCGATGCGCAAAAGACGAAGGTTTGAGCCGTGCTCAGACAGGAAATGTATTGTTGAACCAGCCTCATCTAACCGCGGAACCCTAATTCATCTCCTGCAGCCGGCGATGAGCATTGACGTGGATCCTCCCCTTCAGCCAGGAGATAGACTCCTCAACCCCTTCCCGAGTCGCCGTCGAGATGGGACGAAATACCTGCCAGCTGTTAATCGTGTGTATAACCACCAAAAACCATCCGTCGGAGACAGAAAGCAGAGGAATCCCACCCAATCAACACCCAACCCATCCAGACCCAGGCAATCAACCTGCTCCTTTGCAATCCCCACATCCTACACAGATCAAATCCAACAAGCAATTAGCAATCACACGGGCCAGCATACCCAGGAAGGTCACAAACCACGGCACCCCCCTTAAAGTTCACCAGCACCAGCCACGGAATCCCCTTCCTGGCAATGCAGTACGTCTGCATCTCGCCGGACTCCATCCTCCCGTGAACCAGACAGCCAAGCTGGTACCGCAGCTCCTCCAGCGCGATCGCGTGGGCGGAGTTGACCACGATGATCAGGGCGTCTGCGTCCGCGTACCGCGCGGCGAGGGCTGCCCGCCAGCCTAACCTTGCACTCAACCCTACGTCCGCGGCGATGAAGCTTAGTTCGCGGGAGGGGCTGCTGCTCGTCCAGCCCGCGTGGCATCCGGTTACGGTTATTGGGCTGAGGGGGATGTCGCTGAGGTGCTGGAGGAAGGCTCGTTTGCCGGCGTCGGGGAGGCCGAGGATGGCTACTTTGGACATGGAATGTGTGAGGGATGACTGATCGCCAAGCAATGTGCGGACCCGAGTTATCAAGTTGAACATTATGGGGTGTGGCTTAATCTGTCTTGTCAAGGAGAGAGCCGAGAGAGTCTTTGATAATGGCGGGTTGATGAGCCCGGGTTTCTCCGATGCTGTCTCCGATCCCATAAAGAGCCCCCGAGTGGGTGGCCCGAGCTCGATGCGGGGATCTGTTTAATATACAGTAACCTCACGATATAACGAACTAATTGAGACGGCCCGTTTTGTTTGTTATATCGAGATATTCGTTTTATCGAATATATGTAAAAGATCTTTCACGTGATTTAGGCTGCCTCAATGTGTATGCTGACTAAGCATTTTTTTTTTTTAAATCTTCTAAAAAATTCTTAAAAATCCCCCAAAAGTCCCCAAATATGTAATTATACTCAATCGATATAACGAACCTTGTATGTAGAAACAAAATTATTTTACGAACTTCGTTGTAACGAGATATAGCGAATTTTGTATAGTGGAACTCATCCAGCGGTTTTGGAATTCGCTATACGGCAAAAATTCGTTTAATCGGGATTCGTTATAGCATGAGGTTACTGTACATGCGGATGATGAGGATGAATCAGTAGCTTACAAAGAGTGAGTTCTTGGATCTGGTTGACGGCATCGTATGCTCGGGAAATCTTGTTTTTATTCGCCTACTATGAGCATATGCTGACTAAGTCGCAAATGTAGAGACCATGTTTTCTAAAGCTGTTGATAAACCACGAAGAACAACTAAAAGGTTCGACGGCGGAGCAATTGGCCCACAGCTGGTACGGTGTTCCGAGCTTCTCCTCGCAGCATTGTTCTCCCCTCTGCATCCGAATGGCCCAAACGCACGTTCAACTCACCAGCCATCTGTTCCATCTCGCTCGCCATCTCACATGGACCACGCTCAACCACCATATCGCGAGTAAACAGGTTAAGCTCCAGTCCATGAAATAGAAGAGGTAGGACAGAGGACTTCCACAAGCTGGCCCCGTTATGCGAGGTGACGAGCACCGTGGCGCCAAGCAGAACGGTTCCTACCAAAAGCAGCACGGCAGGTAAGATTAACCACAGCCATTGCACAGCAACATAGGTCTTCTGGGTAATGAAAACGCCGTAGATTGGACTACTGGCTTTGGTGCGGGCTAAATTGGACAGCGACGACGCGATCCTGTCCACCACAGTCTCCAACCCGAGATCGTTTGTTCTCATGATGAACGATGAGGATGCAGTGCCCGAATGTTCGAAGCCTGGAGGCTGCTCATCATCCCAGTTTATGCTTCCATCGTTAAATGCACCGGCCACACTGTATCCCTTGGTGATCGTGCCAAACAGCGGGAGTGTACTGTTAATGTATTTCGCATCCACTCCGCAAAACTCAAAGTTGATCGGATCTGTCATGCCAGACCACTCTGACTGTCCGGCTTTGCTCCAATTCGTCATGGGACTTGAGCTGGGTCTCCAGCAGACAGCGCTAACCTGGCCTTTGATATAGAATGAACCGAAGTCTTTGTCAAGGACCTCGACCGACTGAGCTCCGTTGGCCACGGAGAGATTATATTCCCTTGTGCAGATCGACAATGCGCACTCGGTGGCTTTGATTACGCTGAACGGAATCGACAAATTCGATCTCGAGGTGCTGAAGATTCTTGGCAGATGCAACTCCGCATATGCAACCACAATCAAAGGATTTGCTACCCCTGTCGCTGTAGTACGCACGAGTGTCTCAGTTCCGTCATCAGAAATGGCAAGGTTCTGTTCTTGGATATTGGAGACCCAGTACAGATACTGGGGCACTGGCAATTGAAATTTGCCGGGTTTGCGCGATGGTATCTGAATTGAAACATCGAACGGCGTGCCATTTAGCATAGATATGGTGGAAGGTATTGTCTGATGACTGTAATCAGCAACATTGAATGAGGAAATATCCCATCCGGAAAGCACCACCCGGGACGAGTCGACATCTGCACATCTACTGCACATCTCAACCGATCGGTACCGTGGCCATGTGCAATTGCCTGTTGGACATCTCAGGTTAAGTGAGGACGAGTCAGTCCATAATGCACTTTCTACAGCATATGTAATTTCCGTAGTGCTCCATTCTCTTGATAGGAAGAAGCGCGACTGTGCCACCTGGGATGTTGCCGAAATTTCCGGTGTTGGTTCGACTGGGTAGCTAATAATCTGCTGAACAAATGGATCGAACGCTAGAGCTAAGACGACTATAAAGGCACCGACCGTCACGAGTGAATGGCCTCTGTCTCTGAGTAGGATGAGGGCAGAACCCCAGGGTCCACGGCTTGCACTGTTGTACAACTGAATGCAAGACAGCGGCCATTGAGACTGTCGGAGGGAGATCCATTGTAGTTGTCCGATGCATTCTCCCACGGCAAATACCAGCGAGGATTTCGACACAGTGGCAAGAACCGACACGACGGTATTTAGTTGTATTCCACTCGGCAGATTTGGCGACAATTGCCCGTCAAAAGTCTATAGATTGAATCGAAGGTTGATCAGTCTTGGTTTCCGCGATCGTACAAGCTCCACTTATGGCTGCAGCCCAAACTTACCAGCAAGATACAGACAATTGCCGCAAGACATGCGATGCTTAAGCAAACTGCAATTGACTCATATAGCCAGGAGTCGGGTCCTATGATGCCCCACACAGACCGGGTACCGGATATCTCACGCTCGGGCAACGATCCCTTCACCATCTCCTCGTCGGTGAATGATTCAACGGGCGTATATCTCGCTGCTACGGGTTGTAACAGCTGTCTGTACAGATGGTATATTGTCAAAGCAGAGATAATAACAATCAGAACGCCATATGTGACACCAAGCCCGATGCCGGCCTTTGCACTGGTCGATAAAGGTGTGTGTGCGCTGTGGAAGGCGTGTGTCTGGTTGGAGAAGTCTTCCTCGTGCCATCGAACTGACACAGCATATGCAGCGACTATGTCCGGCGAAAGAAATAGATGGGCTGGATTCGTAGTGGTCATTGTGCTTAGTGGAGCGGTGGAAAAGCACCGCTCTATTATTCCGAACGACGGGTCTGGCGAATAGCCTCTGGAGAAACATATATGGTTTAGTGCATGCGGGCCGCTACTCTATCGTGGTCGAATAAAGGTAACATGTCTCGAAACAAACCATCACTGCACAGTGAGCTCTACAGCAGCTGCGGCATAAGGGCCAATACTAAAAGCTGACGCCCTGCCCAGCATTGCGTGTGTTCCGATACCAAATTGCAAGTATCTCAAGACGTTCTTCAAAACGTGATCATCCACAAAAGGCCCCTAGAGAAAGGATAATGCCTAATAGCCTAGTGCCTACCACATCGACTATGCTATACCGCTTGTCTCCACAAGGCTATGACATTAGAGCTCTTAAGAAATTACGCATTGAGTCAGGATACAGGCTCACGCCAGTTCTCTCCCCTCATAATTATCTGAAAGATCTCTGAGTATAACCGACAGTCTAATCTACCGTACCTTCGACACGCAACAACGAAGTCGACGCATCCGTACCCCTACAAAATTAATGTCTTCCTCCATCCTCAAAGTTTTTCTTTCCCGACGCCGCAGCACTAGGATTATACTGCATATGCGCGTTCACCAAGCGGCCCACCGCCAGCGCTGAGCAAGTACTCAAGTCGCCAGCTAGTACCGCAGCAGCAATAATCCGAGCCAAGCAGCAGGCATTCGCGCCCGGGTCGGTGGGATGAACGCCGCGCATCTCCAGTAAATCTAGCATAGCACCCTGCATCTCAACGATTATGCCGCCCCCAATTATCCCAACTTTCATTAAGAACATGAAGACGGCAATATGCAGATTGCTGTTGATACTGGAGTTGTTAGCATTCCCGAACAGCACATATTGCTAAAACAAACGAAAAAAAAGGGGGCGAGAGGATTAAGAGAGAGAAACCAAGCAAGATACCCGAGCAAAAAGGAAACTTACTTCTTCATCGCAGTATTACAACTACTAATTTTTGAATTCTGGGCGGGATTCTGGCCGGTGGCAAGAAACACCATCTAAATAAGATTTATCACATAGATATTAAACCTCCCGATGCTGCCTGCTATTATACTGTTTATAAGATTCTTAGCCGTATTAAGCTTGATTGATATATTAACCTTTATTTTTAGTATTTTTCGAACAGTACATATAGAAATTATTGTTGCTATAATAACCGATTTTCCGCGCCTGGCGATCTAATTTACCGTTGTAAATATCTTGTCCGCATGAAAGTTCCCGAATAAAATAATAATTTATATATTCGGAAAGCCGTGCGTGATTATAATATACAGCATCCTCTCAATCTTTTTTGAAACTATATTTATATTTATTGTGTTGCCGATGGTAGTCCAAAGCCAGATATATGAATATATTCTGGTCTGCGCGACGTTTAGAATTTATAAACAAATAAAGTAGCTAGTAGTGCTAAACATATTTTTAAGTACTATATAACCGGTGAGAAATTTGATCCAGTATGATACTTCAGGGGTATATAAGACTAAAAGATCTTAAATATAGATTTTGTATTATACTATTATACTTGAGTAGTGTTACAGCGCTGTTAATTATATTAATAGTTTTGCAGTCGCAGCTGGCGCTCGCAACCAGTATATCTTCTATTATAGTTATTAGAATCAAATACATCTGTCTATTAATAAGTAGAGGCTCTGTAAGACCCAGCGGGAGTGATGGATAGCCGATCATATTCATATAGTAGGTACCGTGCATGAGCTTGTAGTTGTAGTCACAGTAGGGGAGAAGAGAGTCCCCAATATTCTGGCTGAGGGATTGGGTTAACGGGGTTTGCGAGATGGCAGCGCGCTAAATGCACACGGCAAGGGTGAAGGCTTCGAGTCTGGATGAGCCTGGGGCTATGTTTTCCAGAGTCTTTTCTAGGCTGTAGCCTGCAATCTTGCCGCGGAGGCAGAGAGTAGCTAGTTCCTCATCGGTTAGTGATTCCGCCTGGTCGGATTTGAGCAGAGCTTCCGTCTCTTCTGGGCTGCGGGATTCGTGGTAGAAGGTGCAGCCGACGCGTTGGGTGCGTCGGCAGCATGCCAGCGCGCGGCATGCATCAGGTGGCTGTTGAGGATAAGACTGACGACCAATATGCCGATCAGACACAGTCGAGCCACCGGACTCTCTATTTCTATGAAAACCCCGTCAACCGGTTTCGTTGTCGAGGAGGAAGCATGGAGCGTATATCGAATGGGAGGAAGCACCGTCACGCGCCTCTCAGTGCCTGCCGCGCGGGCCGCCAGGTAGATGTCATTAAGTCCATTGGCGGCCATCTTAAACGGGCTGACAAGGGTCGGCATAAGCGAGGGATTTATTGTTAGCCTCCTAGAATGTAGAACACAAATAGCAAGAGTTGCAGCATGTTGACGAGCACGAAGCCGCCCACCATTATTAATTTCCGGCGCGCCACGTTCGCCGGCTTGACCTTGTATCCAAATATATGGGGGCCACACCGCTCGTCCGCCTGATGGTATGTATCTGGAAACCGGACGCGGGTGATCTCCAGCTTAATGCAGAGAACAGTCGCGTAGAAAGTAAGGAGCAGGACGGCGTCGAAGACCAGTGTCCACGCGGCCAGGAAGCAGCACTGGCCGAACCGGTCGTGGGACCGCAGGGCCGCTCCCAGCGCGAGGGCTCTGATTTCCAGAAGGTATGAGCGGACGATCGACCAGCCTTGTGCATTGATGGCCGTCTGCATGGTGGTAGGGATTGAGCTGAGCTGATTGTTCTGCTGCGGTTCACGAGAAAGGCCCTTGGACGCACAGAGCGCCGCACGGGTGAATCGTAGGGGTTCTCGAAACCCATCGTCAGCACCAAAAAGGGAAGACCCTCTGAGAGCAGCCGTACGTCTATCGGGACACCACAGGCCGTCGTGACCACGAGTCCCAGCACGAAGGCAAATGCCCCGGAGAGAATGACGGAGCTTGCCAGCCAGACACGCGACCCCAGGTGACGCATTGCGCGGAATAGTGAGACTACGGTCATATTAAGAGCCAGATACCCGAGCCTAATGATGACCACATCTACTATCTCGGCGTGCTGGGCCTGGTGCAGGAACAATAGCTATGCGTTGCCGACCCAGCCGCCCAGCGAAAGGGGCTTCCCTTCTCCGCGGGGGCGCTGGATCGCCCACGTTATATCTTCGTCACCCGATGCGACTACTTGTATATCTCCCAGAAACATGCTCAAATGGCTGTAGGGGACCTGATACACCAGAGAAAACTCATCGAAGAAGGAGGTGAATAGATTCGAAGTCGGAGAGATCGGCTCTGCTTGGACGGACCGGGACGAGATAAATGGAGGACTTTTCTCGACGGGAAAACTTGGGAAGTTGAGAGTGACCAGGGCCCAGTGGCGGTCAATCCGTCAAGGAGAATCAAGAAAGGATCAGTCAACACGCGCAAGGTCTATTGAAGCAGCAGTGTCTGCCATACCTGGCTATGATTGTTTGCTGCAGACACGTCGTTCTGCCATCTCCACGAGCTCTTCTCCCCGAGATGGAGACTGTGGCTACCCCCAAAAAACGATCGAACGTCGAAGGGCGCTGCTTACGACGTGTTCGCTGCTTCGAAAGCTCCCTCTGGTACCTAGAGATAAGTTGATGCGGTGACAAGGGCAGTCACGAGCAGAGTGTGAATAGGACGTCGACACGCGTGGCCTACCACTAAGCCCAATACCTGGGTAACACGGTGCTAGACCCAGTCAGACTGGGCTCTGCAGTCACCGATGCCATTGTTCTTGGATTCAGACAGATGAGATGACGAATATTGACATGTCATGTCGTAAATACATGCGCCCAGTGAATGGGGAAGTGGTGTGGGAAGGGGTAGGAGTTGGCAACTCCCCCCAAAAAAGAGAGAGATCAAGGCTCCTGGGAGCTACAACGGACAAATCGACACCACCCCAAGCGATAATCCCAGACCAATAATGTCCTGCACTAAATGTCACTTTTCCTGGTGCCTGAACTTTAGAATGTCCGGCCGGGACAATAAGCACTAATGCGGCTCCGCTTGGTGGAGCCTGCCACCCAGATGCGGCAGACTGAAGGACTACATAGTCAAAGTGGGCCTTATCAGAATATCAATCGACCGTTCACTGTGGCGCAGTTGACATGGTCGGCCCAAGCCGTCAATGTGATTAGGGTCGTCTGCAATCTCTTACCCGGATGCCGCAGGCTCAGTACCCTTTTGGCTGCAGTGGAGGCGATGGTAAATGGTAACTTAGGTGTCTCCTGGCACGTTCAGAACGCCAGCATCATCACACTCCCTGTCTGCCTCCAACAGAGCCAGCTGCTTCTAATGTCGTGTGGCTGGCTAGCGCGGATTTGATGGTTCGAGGCAGCTGCACTTTGTCGAGGCTGAAGTTGAGACGAACTATTTCCACATTCCGTGCTTGGAGCCAGACTCCTCGGTTCTAGCGCATCTCCTCAATGCTCAATGTACTTTTGCTGTGTCGAAGGGAGACAATACGTCTCTGCAGGTAAGATAGGTTCGTCAGCAGCCCCCCTCCCTCTCCCTCCCCCCCGGAACCAAAACAGGCCTTGAGGGATACTCTGGCAAAGGTAGGGGAACTTGATACGATCTCGAGGATTCGTGGTAAAGAGCTAGGGGTAATCATACTCCTTAACATTCTTCCAGCTAGGGCCGTAGCGGATGACTGAATCTCTTGATCAGGCAGCCCCAGACACAGCCGCCATCTCTTTGCACAACCCGGTTCCCCATCGCCAGTCATCTATCTCCATGCTTGCCAGCTCGTCTTGAACATCGCCCTCCATTAAGCATCATGCCCAACAAGGAACAACATATTCCAGCTTGCGAGTGTTCGCGGCTCGCGCCACCGGCGCCTCTGAACCTTGTGTCTCCCCACCCCCTCGCGCAGTCTCTCATTCTCACTCATTGACCACAACCTCTTATACATCCCTAGTAACTGTGCACTAGGGCCTACGGTACTCTTTGTTGTTGCGATCGATGAGATCCTGTGAGATGCTGCTGCGGCTGAATTTCATCTTCGTTTTCTCTCTGGACTTTCAGGCCAGATAGACGGGATAAGGTACCCTAGGAGATGATCCACCCTGCGGATGGAACGTATGGAGGTGGGGGGGTAGAGTCGGGGACCACTCACTGATCCGTGAGGCCTTATCGCGCAGTAAGTTACCGGGTCTATATGGGGCGTCCAGTGGCATGGACCTCGCGGCATTCAGATAGATATTCCGGTCTCGTGGCTGGGTAAATTTGAAAGGGAACAGGACGAAAAAGAGAAGACAAGAAAGATAGCTTTTACGGAGGTTCCTCCGTAGGCTGGGAGGGGAATGGGGATCAGGTTTACAACGACATCAAGGCAACAGGGATGCGATGGCAGTGAATGCCGGAGGATGAGCGAGAGTTCTGAAACAGGGTGAAATAATGGACATCAGATTCCCTGGAATTCCGTTTGGTCGGTTCGAGATCTTGGCCTTACATGTCAGGGGATCTACCGGCTGCGCTTTCTGATCTAAGACCACTTCTCATGGAGCAAGTGTCTTTTGTTTCAGTTAGGGTTCGTTGTATTTAGTTGGCGGGCTATCAGCTCCGAAGGGGGTCCAGACCGGCCTTCATGAACTTACTGACAACATTTTGCAGTTTAAGCTTACACGCCGGACTGCTTGCAGGCCCCGAGATACACGACTACAAGATAGAACATACTATCAGGAGATTCACCTACCACTTCGTACCTCGGCCCTTGGAAGGAACCCTCATAGCCCTAATGAAAGAATGGGTGGAGCTCACGTGATCAAGAGGCCTGGGCGGGGTGGGGGTGGGGGTGGGGACGGTGGGTGGAGTTAGACGAGGCAACAAATAGCCTTCGACCATGACAGTCGAGTCTTGGGCTAGATGATGACTCTTCTATCTGTTCAGCAGTATGATACTTGCGCTAGTAAGGTAGCAGTGGCCACTCTGGGTCCTCTTATTCTACTCAGTCTTATCCGAGAGGTCGAATATGTCGGCCTGGGGAGTACGCAAGCCCCCTCAATAATGGAGATTATTCGAATTCTAGTAATGCACTGGCATCTGTCGAGAGAGTTACCAATAGAATTGAAGATAATAACAGGCTGGTTGTTTCTGATTGAGCATCAAATAGCGCAAGCCAGATAACTAGTGGGACAACTTCACAGCATTAATCTCGATGTGGAGACCTCCTTGCAATCGTTTGCTGTGATTCAAGGAAAAGTCTCACTCTGCTCCAGACACCCCTCTCACGCAACATGCATCCGCACCTTGACCCCATTGGCAATACAATTAGTCAAGGTCAGATTATGCCGGAGAACCTCGTTCGAATCCAAAATCTCCATCCGATCGAACCGCTGCACCAACCGCACCGTCACGTAGCTGGCTTCAGTGAGGGCGAACTGCTGGCCAATACAGATTCTCGGGCCGCCGTTGAACTGAACACGAAGAAGTTTGGTTAGTGGATTGCTGTTTCCAAAATTCTTTATGGGGTAAAAGGGCAGGACATACAGGCAAATACTCCCAGCCAACCTTCCTGCCCTCCCACCGCTCAGGCCGGAAGGCGTCCGCATCCGCGCCCCACAGATCCTTGCGGCGATGCATCACGTACACGCCGTAGTCGCACGTAGACCCCTTGGGGACGAAGACGGGAGATTTCCCGTCCCTGCCGCCGCCGCAAGGGAGCGTGGTGTCCTTGTTGGCATAGCGGGCGTTGAAGGGCACCACCGGGTGCAGGCGCAGGGCTTCGTCGTTCACATACCGTAAGTACTTGCAGTCCTTGAGTTTGGCGAAGGTGATCTCCTGCGGTTGGTCGTAGGGCCCGAAGTCGGCGAGGATGTTGTCGCGTAGTTTTCTGTAGCGCTCGGGATCGCGGGAGAGTTCGTAGAATACTAGGATTGGTGGGTTAGGGATTGGTTCGTAGATTTCATCATCCGAGGGTCCGGAGGAAAGAAAGAGACAGCAGCACTGCTACTTCAGCGATGCTTACCCCAGCCAAGATGCGAGGCGGTTGTGTCCCGGCCCGCCAGCAACAGATTCAGCAGTTGATAGCGCAGCTCCAGCGGGTCCTGCGTTTCCGCCGCCAGGGCCTCGAGGAAGACATACGGCTCGTTTTGGGAGGGCTGCTTCTTCGCGCGGAGACTCTTGGAGAGGGCGAGGCGCACGAAATGGTCGACGAACTCGTGGACCACGCCGCACGCCTGCCGGAATTCCCGCGAGTTGTAGAGCCAGTACTGGTCCATGAACCGGAGGCGGGTGGCGAGCGCCGACTGGGCGGCATCAAACGCGCGCGCGAACTTGGCCTCTTGGCTCTCCTCGCTCTTGTCATTCTCGTCGGTCTGCTGGAGAGACTGCAGCTGGCTGTTGACGGACTCTCCGAAGAGAAATTGGGTGGCCGAGTCCAGCGTCAGGCGGAAGAAATATGGAAGGAGGTCTACCTTCTCAATCCAGCCGTCGGTCGTGATCAATGGCTCCAATGCGCACATCATGTTCTGCATATGGGTCTCCTCCAGGTCCAGGTCGCTTACTTGGTCTCGAGTGAATTGCGGTCGCATGATGGCCTACAATCCGTGAGTATGAGTTACACCGCGGAAGAGGGTGCTGGCCTGGCTTAGCAGAGCAACATACCCGGGAATGTTTCCAGTATGCTCCGTCCGACGTAAAAATGCCATCGCCCAGCATGGGGAAGAAATTGCCCCGTCTTGTAGGTCCAAGATCTGCATGATCAGCATGACAAGTCTAAAAAACCTATGGGTGCATAATCACCGAAGTCATTAAACTGAGTTGCTAAAATTGCTTGGATGTTTCGAGGGTCTGCCGTCCGAAGATTCTTTGAGCCTGTGGTGGCAGCGCATGAGTAACGGCATACACCGCTGAGAGGACAGCTCAACATGAGTATTGTAAGCATTACCTACCAAGAACATTGTAGCGGTAGGTATATGTTCCGAGCTCCTGGAAGCGTTGGAGCACATCGGCGGGGAATTGTTGGGCTCGATCGGCTGCAAGAGAGCGTTGCACACTATCAATTCCGAAGGGCCAGCGGTTTTTTTCGACTGGGGGCTCTTTACAGCCAAGGTCACGGGCTTTTGCCGCGTTGCAGCGGGCAGTGAGAAACGATGAGACCAAGCGGAAGAAAACATAGAGGATGGCGACCCCGGGGAGGGCATTCATTACTGTTCTCAATTCCATTTTAACAGCGATGACAGGTGAGATGGTTCGGTGTAGGCGCTGCAAAGTTTACACCTCAGCGAGGACAGTTTAGAGTGGAAGAGAGAAAAGAGAGGCGCGCGCCAGGGGAGGGGGGGAGGGTAAAGAGAGAGACAGACGGTGGGAATGATCAACAGTGAATGTAGTAAATGCACACTGGATTTGTAATACCCCGCTCCATATGGCCTCAGCTGGGAAATTCATATATTCCAATCAGAAATACTATAGCGGGATGGGTCCTTCCGGGCGGGGCGGCGTTGGCGTGCTTATGCTTGTCAGCCCCAGCGCCGGCCGGGCACTGGATGAAAGTCTTCCATACAGTGGCTATGTGCTCATGGCCCAGGGCGAGGAAAATTCATGATTAATGCTTTTTCTCCAAAGGGGCCCATGCGGGGTTTCTCTCTCGACGCTATCCCTGCTTGCACTCATTCAAAATATTGTAGGCTACTAGGTGGCGTGAAGAAGCGCCAGAGCCAATAAACCTCCTAGTCAAAAAACAAGACCCACCATTAGCTTAAGCTCCGACTTCCAATCACCTAGTGACTGTAATGCTTGAGGTTGTATCCATTCCTGTACGTGACGTAATGTGATGCAGCTCGCGGATGATTGTTGTTTCTAGAAAGTCTCCGTGTCACACTTTATATACAGGCCGTGGGCGACGATGACTGACTTGTGGGCTAGATTCGTGACAGTGGCTTGAGTAGCAGGAGGATGTCGCTGGACATATTACATCTTTAAGGCCGAACAAAATCTCCTACAGTGCATTCTTCAGATGAAGGAGATCACTGCACTATCCGGATGACATTTGGATCGAATTCTTCCCTAGTTTGCTCTGCGCCCGACATGAACACAAACAGCAAAGGGAAGAATATGATTATAGGGCACCTTCACCTTGCATCTTACCGGGGGGGATACCAATTCTTTTCTCGGAATTTGCGTTCAGCATTGAGATGAATTTTCTCTTTCACAGCCAGTGAGTTGCTTCATCGTGGCCAGTTGGCTGTGCCGGCTGAACGGGCGTTCGGGCCCGTGGGGCCGGTTTAGGGGGGGTGGAATCAACGTGTATAAGACGGACACTGCTACTTGACATACCTCCAGCTCAACCTCTCAGGATCATCCTATGTTTCTTCCAGACCATCGATCATGGCTGAGCACGACCATATCGAGCAGCTGACTCCGCTGGACCTGGCAATGCCAAACACCTACATTCGGGTCCTTCTGGCATTCCCCGGCCCCGAAGCAGACTCAACCCTAACCACCCTGCACACTCTCCAAACTGGTCTCGGGCAACTGTCCAAACAAGTCCCCTGGCTGTCAGGACGGGTCTACCCCACCACTGACGACTCCGGCCGACCATCCCTTGAGATCCGCTCGCACGCAGGAGACGCCCAAACGCTGGAAGACAAGGGCACAATCGCCGCATCCTACGCGACTCTGTCTGCGCAGAACATGCCCCCGGAAGCCATCCCAGGGTATGTGTGGCCTGTACCAGCCATGCTTTCGGGGGATATGGAGCATGGCATCTCCGTCTTTGCCGCCAGCGTCTTCCGCTTCATCGACCGCGGCATAGGGCTGTGTATCTGCCTGCATCACCACGCCGTCGACGCCACCGGGTTCACCGATGTCATCCGATTGTGGGCGCAAGCCACCACCACCACCACCACAACCACCGGTGATGCGCTGCCCCCCAATCTTCCTCAGTCCAATCGACAAGCCCAACTCTCTAACGCCCTCACCCCAGCCATCCAAACCCTCATCTCATCCCAGTCCACCAACCCAAATGCCCTCCTCCCCCTCCACCCCGAATTCTCGACAACCCCGCCCTCTCTCCCCGGGGACTTCAAACCCTGCAACTCCCAACTCTTCACCCTGAGCCTCCACCACCTCCGCACCCTCCGCACCCTATGCCAGAAATACACCTCCCAAACCCTCACAATCAACACCCTCCTCGCCGCCCTCCTCTGGACAACAATCACCCGCGTCCGCGCCCAGCGCACCCCAGCCCCCCTCACCCAGAACAGCAACAGCACTCTCACAACAGCCGTCAACGGCCGCAACCGCCTCCCCAACCTCGCACCAGGATACCTGGGAAATCTCGTCCTCTACGCCACAGCCCGGTACCCTGCTCCCGCACTGGCTGCCGCTGATATGGACCCCGTGCGGGAGCTAGCGGGTATCTGCGATTGCATCACGCAGTCCCAGGCTGCGGCGCAGATTGGGGAGCGGTTTATTGCTGAAGTGTGCTGTCTTGTTGGGGGAATGGATTATCGGGGGCTGTATCCCGGGTGGGATATCTTTGGGGGTAGGGATGTGACGGTTACAAGTTGGGCGGGGACGGGGATTTATGAGGTGGGGTTTGGAGGGGGGCTGGGAGGAGTGGGGTTTGTGAGGATGCCGGTTGTGGAGGGGGCGGATGGGGTGGTGATGGTTTTGCCTAGGAGGTGGAGTAAGGGTCAAGAGGTGGTGGAAGAGGCGAAAGAGGAGTCGGTGGAGGTCGTGGTTATGTTGAGGGAGGAGGATATGCGGGCGTTGGAGGGGGATGAGATGTGGGGAGTTGTTTGTGGGTTGTAGGTGCTGTTTGGGGGGCTGATTCGTGGATGGATGGGAATTGTTTGCTCATTTGGAATGTATCTTAGGGCATTGTTATGAGGGTGTAAAGTATAGATTATTCCGGTCTGTGAAATGGGTTCCAGATGTTGCTTGGCAATAAAGGGATTGGCTGGATAGACACAACACTCTGTCTGCACAGTGGCAGAGGCGCTCTAAGATTCAGCATTACACTGGAAAGCACCGAACATAATAACTAGAATACCACTGGAACGACACCCCCAGAGTAAGCGCCCCTAAAAATCAACCCAATTCCCCCAAAACGGCTGCCCACCCATCCACTCACCCAAGACATCCCCCGCCGGATTGAGAGCCACATCCCCGAATACCTCCTCAAAGGTCTCCGCCGGGAATCCGAAGCCCGCGCCGTCGTCGCCCACAGCCACATCTTCACCCGCCAACCGAGCCGGATCCTCCGACGGGTTGTCTACCCCTCCGGCGAAGGCTGGTGACTCGACTAGCTTCTGGGCTAGTTGCGCGAAGGTTGCGCAAATTTGATACAGACGCTCCGCGCCAGGGGTCTGCTGGGGGGATGGGGACCGGAGATTCTCCAGCGTGCCGACTACGCGGAGGAGGAGGGCGGCGCCCTCCGGATCTTTGGCGGCGATCGTGTGGAGGAAGATGACGAGGAAGGGGGTGAAGGAGGAGTAGAGGAGGATCCTAGTGGATTTGCTTAGTCTATGGGGTTGTGAAGGGGAGGACGATTGGAGTTGGAAGGGGAAGCGGAGACTTTGGGGACGGGGGACAAACCAGTTGATGTATTCCCCGTCCGAGAGAAGACGCGATTCCTGATACTGCGGAAAGCATTGGAGATGAGCCTGCAAGCTATTGCGGGCGGCGTGCACGCATTGCGAGCTGATATAGAGGCCCGTCTCTGTGGTGGAGGAGGCGTGGTACAGCAGCGTCAAGGTCGAGTAGTATGCCATGTCCCAGTTGCCGCGGGAGAGGTGAAAGACCTCAGGGTGGTTGACGGCCTCTGCGATGATCTGCACACCCTTAGCCCTTTCTCGCTTGTGTGCATATCACAGGTAAAAGTCTCGCTGCTCACCTGCGTAAACTGGACACGCCACTCGTCCATAGCAGCTGCCAGGTCACGGACAAGACGGGCCCGTTCGGACGAATCCTTGATCGCCGTCTCAGGAGAGTAAAGGCCCGTAAGCACCCGGTCCTGTAGCTCGGCCAATCGGATCCCCATGATGAACGACTCGTCCCACGGCCGCAGCGCCTGATCTGTGGCCGTGGATGGGTAGCGCGTGTCGATGGTGAGCCCGTGCAGGCTAGAAACCCGGCCCAGCAACAGGGACATGTTCTTGTCAAAGCAGTACACCGTCCAGAACAGCCGCCGGATGCTGTCCGCCTTGCCGGACGGGATGTTGCGATAGCTGGCTTCTCGGTGGTACCCAAGGGATTGGCACTGGGTTGCGGCGGCGCACGCGAGTGTCCAGTATAGGGATGGTTTGGCTTCGCCTTGGGCTTTGATCATCTGGTTTTGAGGTTAATGGTGAGTGTGAAAACTCGGGCGAAGAGCTTAGAGGCAAGATGGAGATATGATCGGGTCACTCACGCCCATCGTCAGAGCAAGAATGTTTTCGAAGCTTGGAATGACAAGCACCTCATAATGCTCCAGCGCTGCGACGAACATGTGCTCGCATTCATTGAGATGTGCGTTGAGATCGACCCGCTGGCCGAGGTCGTCGTTCATGGCGACGTACTCCTTCAACACAAAGAGGAGGACTCCATGGGTGCTGGCAATCTGACCGGCAGACGGCGCACTGGTAGCATAGACGCCGTAGCAGAGATCCTCGAGCACGTGCAGGTCACTGATAGCATACGAGGAGAGGAAAATGGGACGACGGACTGCAGGTCAAGTTAGTGCGCAAGGCTGTTCTACACCGCAGTACAGCGTGTCAGAGGAAGGGCCGTCGTACCCCTCATTCTCCGCAGTAGACTATTCACCAGCGGCGCTGGAAGAGGCTTCACCGGTGGCGGTGATTGCGAGACGGACTTTCTGAAATGGAATTTATCTCTGGATACCTCATGTGAGTCGTGGAGAGATTTCCGCAGTCGAGCAAATGCGTGATGAATAGCTGGGTCATCGCCTGCAGAGGCGGAGAGGGCTGCGTCCTGCGCACTCTCGGTCATCTGCAGTGACTGACTTGCGAACGAAGAATCTCCTTCGAAGAGGCGGCCTCCGACAGGGCCCGGCTCGACAGATGAGATCCTCTGATCAGCCTCACGCTCCGCCAGTGGGGCTAATCGCGCGGATTCCAAAGCCACAAGTCTCGACTCGACCTCACGACAACGTCTATCCAGCCGATCTACGACTGCTTCGCTAAAAGTGGGCAGTTGTGAGTATGGCTGCCAGATACTTGGGGGTTTCGGCTTCTTGCCATACATACAGATTTGCTATCTTGTCGGCTTGGCGCTCTGTTCGTGATCGGTCGTTTGGATGCCGACATGTGATCTTCGATGCTTGGCAGTTTGTACATGGGGTGCTGCGGTCACAGCGGATCTGGATGCATCCTCCTTAGCTTACATGATCCGATAGAATTATTGGTGTAGAGACACCACGTACCTTGCGTATCTTACACCCTTCGCACTAAGCGCCCCCACATAACTTATCATTAGCCATGCGTGAAAGAGGCTCGTTCGACCGGGATCCTTACCGCCCTGGGGACTTGCGCGAGTCGATGACGTCTAGCTTGGATGGTTTCCTCTGCACCGAGTGATGACATGGCGATAATCTGGTTTGAGTGACAAGACAGATCTCCTGTGTTGCATCAATGACAGTTTTTTTGTCGATTCCGGGCCCACGGATCCGCGGCTCCGGCACTCCGGCGGCCCGGCGCTTGCCAAGTCCGCCAAGCTCAGCCAGCCCTCCACCACCAAGGCCTTGGCGTCCGGGCCCGTGGACCCGACAGTCCGACCTCTACATCGCATCAGTCAATCATATTTGAGGAGGTAGGTATGTCCCTGCCGCTTTCCCATTGCAATAAAATTTAGTTTCTGTTGCACAGCAAGCATGTCGGTCAGTCCAATCTCACCCTCAACCAGGTATCTCAACCACTAACCAGCTCTACGAGATTCCCAGACTCCATCAGGGTATGCCCGCCTCAAAACCCACCCTACCCTTGCTCTGATGAGCAAAAATTGACCACAATCCCCCCGACAGTGTGCTCATCGCAGATGAATGCATAGACGCATACAGAGAGCTGCTCTTCACGCGAGGGCCCCGCAAGCCCAAGTTCGTTCTGTATAAGATCTCCGACGACGAGCGGTCGATCATCGTGGACGAGCGGTCGTCCGAGACAAGCTACGAAGCGTTCCTTGGGAAGCTCGCCTCGGCGGTCGACGGGGAAGGCCACCAGGCACCTCGCTATGCGGTCTATGATGTGGAGTATGACTTGAATGAGGACGGTCGCAGGTACGTATTGGAATAATGTTTTTCGAGGAGGGCACATTTAGGCATCCAATAAAGTGCACTTGCTAAGGGTTTGTGTCCACGCAGAGCAACAACGGTGTTCATAAGCTGGATGCCGGATGCCACGCCGATGCGGGTGAGTCTTCTCATAATCCTGTTTTAGTTTTTGGGGCTAGCGGCGGAGGCAACTGATGGTCTGGATAGCGCCGGATGCTCTATGCTTCGAGCAAAGAGCAGCTGCGAAGGGCCCTTGATATCAAGATTTCGATCCATGCGGATGATGTACATGATATTGAGTGGAAGACGGTTCTGAAGGAGGCAAGCGGTGGTCGGCTCTGAGGCTTTGGGTCGTTTAGAAACTCGGTTCCAGGGGCGGAATGCAGGACTTGAGATTGGGAAGCTTGGTGATGGGTATACCCAGCTAAAGGTGTCTTAGCTTTGTAGATTGCGTGTATAGCTGTTATAAACAGTATGTTGAAAGTATATTGATTTCAATATTGATTAATATCTTGGGACTTCATTATTATGACTTAATTCAATAAAGAATCGAACCATTAACGATACTACACGGATTGAAATTCGTCCAAAAACTGGATTACTCTTAAATGCCGGTTTTTACAGCCTTCACCCTTCATGATATTCCTCTATCAAGGCCCAACTCTGAAGAACAAGTTATCACTACTGGAAGAGTCTCTGATCAAAGCTTCGTATACCTCCAACAACGCAGGGTCCAGGATCGACTGCGCGACGTCCCGCTCGTCGCTCGTCGCCTCTGGTGCAGTATAAGCCGCGCCCCAAAATTAATCACTATCATCATTATCATCATCACCATCCTCTACCGGCCGACCGCTCAAAGGCTTCCGGTGTGGTAAATACCCGTAGTCGTTTATCAGAGATTTGATATAGTAATGCTGAAGGGTACCAGCGGCCGGTTCGTCGGCCAGATCCGACGACGCCGGCAAGTCGCGCTCAGGTCTAATTTCTAGTGATAAAAGCTTGATAGTCAAGACTCCTCGATAGTTTATATGTCAAGTTATGCTACACGAACATCAGGCATTGCCAGAAAACATGTAATGCCGTAGACAAAATCCTGCATTTCGCCGCATTGTGGCTGAGTGGTGGGAGTGAATTGGGATCGGCGGTTAGCTGCTTGCTCCCCTGCAACTGAACAAGGGTCCGGACAAGCAATCCTTGCCACTCACACACGCTCACCAACTGTTGGGTCAATAGTGCCTGGAGCGCTTGCGAATGATGTTTAGGAATATTGATTGGGTGGGCCTCACCGCCTGTCAATCTCATATAGCTTTTTGATAAAATCCTTAGGGAGATATTCTACTGGTCGATTCCTAGGCCATAGTCTGTGTTTAGCTAACAGGTTCATGGTGTTGGCAGTTGACATACCCAAGCAAGCATCATCATGTCTACCTTTTGTCATTTTCTCGAACGTGTAAGCGCATCTCAGAGCGAAAGCTCACAGTCAGACAACCTGATATGTCGAGCTAGATAGGCTTTTGTATACAAACGGACAGCGAAGCAAATGAAAGCTGTAATATAGAGGACCAGATGCACAGCGTGCCCGACCGTATGCATGTTTGGAGGGTCTATCAAGTTCGACACTTTGCAGGGAGGAGGAGCCCCAGCTGGACCACCGAGAAGTGCTTCACGCTGTTCAATGCTCAAAGTGAGCATGTTTCAAGTCTTTTGCCGAGTCCTTGAATAGTAAATCTATACTATCATTATGAAATGGAAAATTTAGGAATCATCTTGAAGCACTAGCCGTCGAATATGTAGAATTGTCTCTGTCAATTTTCTGCTCAACAAGTACCCCTGCAAAGTCGTCCAGGCAAGCACACTACACCCCCTGAGTGCATTGCATATAAAGAGACGAGCTTTCTTCTGCACTATACGTGTGTTCATTTCAAAACCTTGTCACAATTCGAGGCTGTGCATGCATGCTACAAAGGAGGGTTTCATACTCTCATAACTTCTCGAAAGTGCCTGTCAACATTTTTCTTTCCAGCAGAAATCATGACTTTGTCGGATACCACAAAAATAGACCCGAAAATCAGTGCTTCGGTCATCATGGCAGAGTCCAAGGAAGATATTGTGGCTGACAATCGCCCGCAATCTTACACCCAAGGAGCAAGACTTCATCTCATTACTGCTGCGTACGTGATTGAAACCATTTGTATTGACGATACATTCTTCTGATGAATCAGTCTCGCCTTGTGTCTGTTCTTAGCCAATCTTGAAATTCCTATTGTTACGACCGCCTTGATCAGTATCACCGAAGAACTTGGGGGCTTGAACAAGATCTATTGGATTACAACGGCTTACATGCTTGGATATGCTGGTCTTCTTGTTATCTCTGCCAAATTTAGTGACGTCTTTGAGCGCGAGTCAAGTTTGCTGGTCGCTATCTTCCTCTTCGTGGTCCTCTCAGGGGCTTGTGGCGCCGCCGAAACCATGGAGCAACTGTAGGTGACCATATACCCACCATCTTTATCACTTATGCTTCATCTACTGACCAGCTGACACACAATGTCCATCATGCTGCAGCATCGTCTTCCGCTCGTTCCAGGGGATTGGCGGAGCCAGCAACTATTCTATCTGTGCAGCCATTATCTTGGACTTGGTTCCACCGGAGAAGTATGCGACGTACATGAGTTCACTCTCTATTGTGTACGCAGTATCTCTACTATGTGGACCTTTGATGGGAGGTGCTATATCAGCGTCGTCAACGTGGCGCTGGGTGTTTCTTTTGAATGTTCCTCCGGGCGCTCTGGTCGGGATCGGACTGGCTATGGTCCTGCCGAATCGTTTCCCCCATCGCAACGAGCAGCCCATGGCCAAGAATGCATTCTCTCTTTGGGCCTCCTTACGCCAAACCATCCGAAAAGTCGACATGCTCGGCTTCAGTATGCTTCTCGTGGCTACTATCTTTCAGGTAACAGCTCTAGAGGAAGCCAATCAGGAGTTCCATTGGAGTTCGGCGTTTACCATAGCCCTTCTAACCATCTCTGGGCTGATGTGGATCGCTTTCCTGCTGTGAGAAAGGCGAGTCACGCTTTCATCTGAGTGCATCAAGCCGGTATTCCCATGGAGATTTCTCCGGAACCGAGTATGGATGGGGATGCTGTTGTAAGTTCTCTCCGCCGCCATCTCCCCCTCATGTTCTTTTCCAGCTAACCCATGGCCCACGTCGCAAAAGAAATTCTATTTGTCTGGATACAGTGTGGTTTAGCACCATGTTCCAGTTGCCGCAACGCTTCCAAATCGTGAACCAGCTTACACCTCTTCAAGCGGCTGTCCGGTTCATCCCCTTTACCGTTGCCGCACCGGTGGCCTCTGTCGCAGCACCTGCATAAGGCAAATTACTCAAGGTACCGCTGATCTACCTTGTGCTGTCCGCGTCGTTGCTCCAGGTAGTCAGCTACGTACTCCTGGGAGCCATGCCCGAGTCTCTGTCCATCCCTGCTGCGCAGTACGGATACCAGATTCTGGCCGGCTTCGGATGTGGTGTCAATCTCACCCTACTAATTCTAATGACACCATTTATCATCGAGAAAAGAGACAGTGGTCAGTAGAGCCCCTGATACATGGTCCAATTGTCCATGTTCGCTAATGATGATTATTTGTTCTCCTGGGTAATAGCGGTGGCTATGGGAGCGATTGCGCAGTTTCGAGTGATGGGTGGCTGCATCGGGATTTCCATTTTGACTGCGGTGGCCAACGGCTACCTCCAGTCCCATCTCAAGCACTCCCTAGAAGCAGCCCAGATGCAGTCTATCCTGAACTCCGCGGAGGTGCTTTCCGCTCTACCGCAGGCTGAACAGAGCCTTGTGCGAGGCACGTTCTCGGCCAGTTACAACCTGCAAATGAAGACCCTGGCTGGACTTGCGGGGGGTCAGGCGTTGGCGTCGCTGCTTATGTTGCAGAAGAACCAAATCACTGTATAGGCTATATATCAGTGTATTTCGGAGTTGGGACATTGGTCCTCGTAGGCTGAGTGATAGAGATTTGGGCATGTCCATCTTAGTGCGCCCCACTTGTTTTGCAACTTATGTCTCTCAGCCCGTGGCAATTTAGTTTGACTAATGTAATACTTAAAATTTACAGTGTGGACGGAGATCAATCCTGGCGTATTGCCTTTATTCACCCTGTGTAGTCATTATGCCTCTGATCTCATCACCTGTTCTTTCCAATATCTTTAACCCATTCTCCCAAGTTGACAGCCTTGGCCAGCTTATTGAAGTAGTCTAAATACCTAGTATAGTAGGTATAGTTCGCGCAGTTGGTAAGTGAAAGTAGCGC